AAATGGATCACATCCCAAACGGTGGATTTGGGAAAACAAACTGTAACCCACGTGTTTCTAGCTATCCCTGACTGCCCATACCCCCTGTTAGGGAGGGACGTTGTCCATAAACTGAAAGCCACCATCCCGTTTCAAGGGACCCAGCCGTTGTTAGTACAATGGGGAAATGATACACCGAAGCTCCTGGCTGCAACTTGTCCCTTGAGAGGCGAGTACTTACTCATAAAGTCAGTGGGGGGAGAAGTTGTCCCAGATCTTTGTTGTGGAAGAGCTGCAAAGAAAGATCCCCACAGTGTGGGCAGAACTTYATACACGGATGGCAGCAGCTATGTAAAGGATGGGGTACGATATGGGGGACCACGGTAGTAACAMAAGARGGGCRTGTAATACGGGCCCTGTCGTTGCCACGTGGCAGTCCGGCACAGAGAGCCGAGCTCATTGCTCTGCTACAAGCATTGCGGTGGGCAAAAGGGAAAAAAGGTAAATATTTATACTGATAGTCAGTATGTTTTTGCCACTGCCCATGCACATGGACAAATATATAAGGAAAGGGGGCTATTAACATCAGAAGGAAAAGGTATAAAAAATAAGGAAGAAATTATGACCCTGCTAGAAGCTGTATGGGTCCCTCGAGCGGTGGCYGTTGTCCACTGGCCAGCACATCAACGAGGAAACAGCCCCCAGATACAGGGGAATGCCCTGGTCGATAAAGAGGCAAAGCAGGTGGCTCAACAGCCAGTGGGGCCACTGCAGATGCTAGCCCTAATACCACAGATCCAGCGGCCTGAAACGCCCCCTGAATATACTGAAATTGAAAAAGACTCTAGAGAGAAACATCAAGGAAAAGAGGGAGGCGCAGGATGGTGGTATCTGCCAGGAGGTATACTGTGCCTACCCGAACAAATGGCAGAAGCCTGGCTGCAAGATTTCCACTCTAGCCTGCGTTTATCCCCTAAGAAAGCACTTGAGCTGCTGCGCCCCCATCTATGGACCCCAGATCTGCAAAAGAAGCTCGAAAAGATCTCTGCCTGGTGCACTGCATGTGTTCAAGTAAACCCGAAGATAACCACACCCTCTGAGGGGACTAAGCAAGTGGGGGATGCACCAGGAATGTATTGGGATGTAGACTTCACGGAAATAAAACCTGGGAAAATGGGGTACAAATACCTTTTGGTACCCTATTKGTACCTTTTGGTATTTGTAGACACATATTCGGGATGGGTGGAAG